TGTAGCCTCTCTTCTTGTTTCTTTTCTCATTCTTCTTGTTTCTTTTGCTGTTCTAGTATTGCTGCCATCAAATCTGCTAAGCTGTAATCTGATGTGCCACCTCTCGTTTCCATCTTCTTCTTCTTTATTTTTATTTTCTGTCCCACTCTCTGACACCAGTTTGTTACATCTCTGGTCGTTTGTTAATTTCCCGTATAATTTATTTCCGAAGAAACTTTAGCGACACAAGTCTTTTCTTAAATAAAACTAGTTTATTCTTTCTCAATACAATTTTGCAATACACTTAATTTCCACAGTCACTTTAACTTAAACACACGCTATAATTCACAACGATTCACGCACTTTACTTACTGTCACTACCGCGCTTGACTCAATTGTCCATCTCTGTCTCTGCCTGTCTGCAATTTAATTAATTATCTCGCTTTATTTGCCTGCTTATATACAGGAATAGAGGGCGTCTAGCAAATACTGGATTATTCGTGATGTTCCCCGATCCTTCTAGATACTCATTACGTGTTACCAGCGTCATGTGACTTCCGCTGTCGTAACAATAGTAATAATAGCTGCTCCACTACATGATTTGACCAAAAAAGGCCAGAAGTTCGAATGGACAGTTTCTTGCCAGCATGCTTTCAAGACATTGAAAGAATGATTGGCCTCAGCTCCACTTTTAAATCTTCCAGATCCCTCACTGCCATACATACTGTATTGTGATGCTAGTAATGTCGGAATTGGCTGAGTGTTGTCTCAGGAAGTGTGCGAAAACGAACATGTGGTGGTCTACTTCAGTAGGGTTTTGAGTAGACAAGAGAGGAACTACTGTGTAACACGAAACTCTTTGCTATAATAAAGAGTCTGACATATTTCCATCCTTACCTCTATGGGGTTAGGTTTACCATCAGGACAGACCATGCTACATTACGCTGGTTACGATCATTAAAGAACCCAGAGGGACAACTGGCACGTTGTATCGGAAAAATAGACCAGTATAATTATGATATTGAATACAGAGAAGGAAAATATCATGGAAATGCCGATGAACTGAGCCGAAGACCCTGCAAAAATGACTACAGACATTGCTGCAAAAGAGAGGTTGAGCTAACCAGGTGTCATCAAGCTGAAGTCAAAGTGACTGAAGAAGTTGATGATGGTGAAGTTTGGACCAGGTATAAATATTAAAGCAGAGCAGGAGAAAGATCAAGATTTGAAGCCAATAAATGATTTTCCAAAAGCAAGTGTTTTGCACCCTGCTTGGGAGAAGTTGTCTAGTCTAAGCCCTGTGACAAAGAACTATTGGGCACAGTGGGACCAGTTGAAGCTTGAAGATGGTATTCTTCTCTGGAGATGGGAAAGTGACGACCTGGCAAACGGTTATACCAAGAAAATTATTGGAAGTTGTGCTGCGTCAATCCCATGATAGTTTAACAGGAGGACATCTCGGAGTTAAGAAGAGATTGAGTCACCCACGACAGAGATTTTACTGGATAGGTATGAGGCAAGATGTGGAAGAATGGTGCTAAAAGGGTACCCAAGCATAAGGGACGTGCTCCAACGAAGTTATATCAAGTTGGTGCACCAATGGAAAGAGTGGCCGTTGACATTGCTGGTCCTTTGCACCAAACTCGTGCTGGAAACAAGTACATTTGTGTGGTGATGGATTACTTCACCAAGTGGCCTGAGGCATATGCAATACCAAATCAGGAAGCTACAACTGTAGCTTCGGCTATTAGTGATTTCTTCTTCAGATTTGGTATGCTATACAAACTGCATTCAGATCAAGGCCGTAGCTTTCAATCAGCTGTGTTCCATGAATGCTGCAAGTTGTTTGGCACATGAAAGATCAGGACAAAGCCACTTCACCCACAGTCTGATGGGATGGTAGAAAAGTACAACTGGACACTGGGACAGGAATTGGCAAAGTTTTGTAATAGCCGCCAAGATGACTGGGATGTCTTATTCCCTCTACTGTTGATGGCTTATAGAACAGCAGAGCATGAAGCCACTGGATACACTCCAGCAAAGTTGATGTTTGGTCGGAAACTTCGGTTGCCAGTAGATATGTTAACAGGACGCCCACCTTATGAAGAGTTGCCTGAAAATGTGTCAGCGTTCGTGAAGGTGTTATCAGAAAGGATGGATGATATTCACCATCAAGTGCATTCAAACTTGAAAACGTCTGCTGATTCGATGAAGCTACGTTATGATAAGAAGTCTATTGCTTTGTACCAGGAGACAAGGTGTGGTTGTATAATCCAAGGAAGACCAAAGGGAAGTCTCCTAAATTGTCTGCTCCATGGGAAGGACCATATAACATAGTGGATCGTCTCTCAGACGTGACTTTCTGAATAAAATGTGGTCGGCGAGGTGAGCCAAAGGTGGCGCATGCCAACAGGCTTTGGCATTACCATGGTCCAGGACTTTTCAGTTGGGACGAAGTGAACAACGATACAAAAGACGCCGCTGAAAACGTGTCACCTGGAAAACCCACTGTCGAAAAAGAAACTCTACTGGGTTTTGAGAAGGGAAACAGTGAAGTCGTTGATGAAGTTACTACCACTGATGTGACTATTACCGATAATAGGACATTTTTTGATGGAGCAGATGAACTTTACGTGAAGCAGAAGCCAACGAGACACAGACCAGTATGGAAGAAGAAACGTACAGTAAAATTAAGAGACTTTGTTGAATTTTAATTTTGTTTTTGTAAATTCTGTACATTTAATTAAGTTATTGTTAATTATCTATTAGTTTAATTTAAGTGGCTATCGTTCGGGACGAACAATACTAAGGAAGGAGCAGTGTTACGAC